TGAAAAGAGGCAACTATAGGCTAAATAAAGGAACCACATAAAGATTGCCCAAAGCACATCAGACCACAACTGCTGTATCACCAGAGATACCGAAGTGTAGCAGCCACTGAGAGAGCAGACAACAGCCCGAACACACTTCCATTTCCCAGTTTTCATGCTGGCACACCCATACATCTTACTAGATCACAAATGTTTGCTCCTCCTAATCACATCTCCTTGTTTTATTCTACAAAATAATATCCTCTTTTATTCAGCAGCAATAATAAAGTGATAAATTTATTGGACACAAGAGCTGTATTCAGAGCACATAAAACAACTAGCATATATGTATCACTGAAAAAGAAAAGCATCTGCTTGAAACCCTGGAAATGAACCAGAAAATTCCAGTAATCTCTTCTTCATGACCTTTCTTTATGTGTACTTCCAATATAAGTTACCAAGCGAGTAATTTTTCATTATGTAACTTAAATTATTAATAGGTGAATATGGGAATCTGTATTTCACATGAAACTCTCACCATTGTTGATGAATTTTTTGCTAATTTTAAACTTTAGAAAGTAATCAATTTTAAAGTCATAAAAGGAGAATTTCAGGAAGAAGCTGGATAGCCACCTGTCAGGTAAAGATTCCTGTATCAGATGAAGAGTAGTAGAGAATGAACTTATAACTTCCTCTCTTTTAACATCTATTACATGATACCAAACAGCCACTGGGCCACAAATATAGAAACTTTAAGAAACAAATATACACAATTGTTACATACATGAATAGCTCCTAATGAATGTAACACCTTTATTAATCTATCTCAAGAAAGCAATTCACTGATTTCTATGCTATGAAATGCTTTAAAAATTATACTACATATAATTATTAATCTCCAGAAGTTGAAATTTAGGATACAAAGACATACAAATTATAGTAGGCCAAATGTGCAATAAATTCACAACTACCCAAATGAGTGATGACACGGGAGTTAGGCATACAAAGTAAAATACCTAATAGGGCTCAGGTTATTTACCTTTGACTTAAACATGTGGTACAATGTCATGAGTCTTGCTCATTGATAAGTACTTCTCTAAACAGTTTACATCTATTATCTATTTCACTCTTCACTACATTTCTGCAGTAAAAGTCATGTGTCTCAGAGAGATTCAGCAACTTTTTCAAGGTAATCCAGCTAAAAAGTAGCTGAGCTAAGTATCATCTGCCTTGGGTATCTTCTCACTCCAGTGCCTTTCATCAAGGCTTCCTTTTGCGGAATTCCTTGTTCCCTTATTGGTAGGCAATACAGGAATTACTTCTGTGGCTGGAGATAATACCCTGGATATGAGGAGAGATTGTCTGAAGCCTGCCTAGAAGATTAAGGAAAACTAATTTGAGTTTTCAAATGTGAGTCAAAAAAAGTTGGTAAGTCCTAAGAAAATAGGTATATGCATGCTGCTATGATTCTAAATGGCTTCAGTATTTCTAAAATCTGCTAACAGGGAATGAGAGCTATAAAATTTTTCTTGCCATCTGATTCAGTAGTTTCAGCCTTTGGAATATACCCCAAGGAAATAACAGAAAGAAAAAGGTAATTTGTTCAAGATCTTGGTTATTTGTATTAGTGAAAAACTGGAAACAACCAAAATTCCAAGTACTAGGACAATGACAAAGCAAGCTGGGCTGGTAGAAAAAGAAAAGAGAAAATTTTATAATCCTCTCAAATGACAAATATAGAATACACTCACATGTGGACATCTATGTAAGGAGTAATTTTATATTTAAAAAACTAGAATACAAGTTAGTATAAACTTCTTTAACCAAGTAACACAGTATATACATTAATAATAACATGAAAATTGTGAATTTATAAATAAATATATCCTTTTCATTGGCTGAAACCCCAACACCAGAATAAGACCTGACACATAAATTGTGTTTAATATTAACTCTTTAATGAAAGCAAACTGAAGTCATATATTTAGATCTTACTAGCACAAGGAAGTCAGCCACTGTTTCTTGCATTTGGCAGACTTAAGGTGGGGTGAGCAAGTTTTATGTTGAAAAAAAGGAGAAGAGTATGGGTGGACAGAGATGGCTAGCATGGTGAAGCATAAGGTCAGCTAACAAGAAGTAGGGCATGTTAGGTAATTTTAGTCCAAAAAAACTATCTCATTGAGCCTGAGTTAGAAGGGAGGGGAAAGAAAGGAAGCTGACAGTCATTGACCAGATCCTGATTGTCCTGGGTTGATTACTACTCAGGTTATGACTTAACTTTTGGACTGGCTGCTAAAGAAAGTGTGTGTCTGACTTTTATCATCAAATATGTTCGTTGTCCACTTGTGTATCTAATCTGTCACTATTCAGTTACATATTTTACAGAAGGATATAACTCAGGAACAGCCAGATGGAAGAGATATGAGAAACGAGGGGAGGGGTGCGGAGCTTCTGTTCTGTCTCGGAGGCTGCCACCTGAAGAGCATCCCCGGGTATTCAGTCGTGCACAAATTCAACTTAATAAAAATTATGGGTTTAAGTTATACAAAGGTCATTGTTTTTCACTGAGACTCACCTGGGTTTTAAGTGTATTACACTGCTGTCAGTAAAGGTTAATCTGTTTTAAGGGCCTACCGAATTGTTTCACTGTATTCTCTTACATATTCTCTGTCCAGCCCCCTGAAATGTTATTAGTATCATCTCTCTTCCAAGAGAGGGAAACTGGGGCACAGAGATGTAAAGTAATTGCCCAAATTTACACAGATTATGGCAGAGATGGGATTTCAACCCACATAGACTCACCATGCAGCCATTGTGCCATGTTGTCTTCCCATATTTGGGAGAAATAGCTAAATTTTGTTCTTTCCCATTAAGTATTTCTATATTTTGTTTTATGTTTTTCTCTTCACCTTTTCTAATTTACAACATGTAGAATCCTTGCTGGAAGGATTCTTCCAAGATGTGAAAGTAGAAGAATTTTAAATCAGGTGACAAGTGTAGCTAGAAACTGGAAGATAAAAATGCTTCTGTGGGATAACAGCAGAAAATAAAGTCAACATTTGGAACAAAGAAATACACAAATGCAATTGAATCAAAGCTACAAATTGCCTGGGGAAAAGTGACAAACACAAAAGACAATTTAAAAACTCTTAGGGAGATGTTACACATAAGATTTATGGCTTGCTCTTGCCTATATCTTATATTTTGCAAAGTACTTTTTATTTATGATATTACTTCATTCTTCCGTCATAAAGGGATAGATAATAGTGTTGACAGATGACGAAACTGAGATTAAAAGACCCTCCAGATGCAGCTGCTCACCACTAGCCAGCTCCAGCTCTCATTCTCCATAGAGTAGAACCTTGATACTGTACAAAGCACTGCACAAACTTCCCTTGTCATTCATTCAGATCTCACAGAGCCCTATAAGTATAAATTCACTGAGAGAGTCCAAAAAACCAAACAGCGTAAGTCAAATGTAAGATCTAAGTATATAATGGATTTAATTAATAAAAGTAGAGAAAAGGAAAGATTGTCATCTAGGTATAAACAAAACTCCTTGGGGCTTATTGCAGTTATATTGTTATGTAAGAGAAAACAAAAAATCCCAATTTTTCTATCTATAACCTTATAAGAGGCACATTATCTCAGAATTCTGTCACGTGTAATACAGAAGCAAAATAAATTTTGCTTTTTCTGTACTTTCCATGGAAATACTTTTATCATGAATGAGGTGAGCTACATTTTTTTACATTTCTAAATACCCTCTTTTAGCTGGTTTTGCCTGACAGAGACCTTTTCTTGCTTCAGAATTCAGGCCAAATACCATCACTTTCAAGAAACCCTTCAGAGCACCCAAAGAAGAATAACCGTCCCTTTCCTAAGAACTTACAGCATGTCTTAGAGCACCTCATTGCCTCTCACCATGTGTAATTTCTGAATGGCACACATTTGGGATTTACTTTTTGCAACCTCTGACCCCAAGACCAATGCACCATACACTGCAATGAATACACTAATTGCATTGAATCACTAAGAAATCATCTGATTTCAATCATGCTCTATGAGTTTATAAAACTTTACTGGGATTTGGGATGCTCCAACTCCAACATAGAAATGACCTTAATCAAGAACTCTCTTTATTTATAAAACTTATTTCCCTGTAAACATATTTTATTGTGACCTTCTGTACCATAAATACATTAATTTAAGTCATTAGTAATTGGCAGTAGCAAAACAATAAATGCACTTCCATAAGGTTAAATTATGGTGTTTTAATCAAAAAAGAATATGGAAGTCATGAATTTTAAGCAATAATTTGAGATTTGCTTTTACTACAAATTTTATAAATATTTAGCCAGATTCTACTCAATATGAAAGTATTAGCTTCAAAGCCAGAATTTCAGTTATTTGAAGAGTCTCTCTTTTAATATAAACTGAAAATAGACTGCCATTGAAAGAACTTAAAATTTGAGAGCAAAATATACATCACTTCTACCAAGGTCAATTGCTCTTCAGGGAGAGAAAATAATACTCTTTTTATTAGCTATTTATAATAACAATTAAATAACATTCATTTTATTGTGGTTTTTATATAGGAACTGAGAAAACAGTTCCTCATTTTAGTTGTAACATTACAAGGGAAAGCGCTGAGTTTCTGAAACGCAGTGATCTTCCTGTATTCAGCGTTCCCCCGGGCCCTGCATGGTGGTGGTGTGATCTTCCTTTGAAAAGCCTACTTACAAGGAAGATACAGAGCAAGGAATAACAAAAATACGGTGACCGAGGCTTGTAATGAAAAGCAAACTTTAAAAAAAGATAAAGTATTTATTTTCAATTATACCACATTCTATGAAATATAAAAATACCTCCCATTCCATTTTGTTTAACATGAAAAGAGTTCTTTGATCTGTGAATGGGCTAATCGAACAGCTACTCACATTATTCCTGTCCTTTCAGGGAGAGCAGCAGTTCATGATCAAAAAGGAAAGCATTAAGTCATGAAAGGGATTAAATCTTACTTTCTCATCATCTTCAGTAAATGGAGCACCTTCAGGAATCTTATTTATCGCTTGTGCCACACCAATAATCTCACCGTCACTGCTTCTGATGGGCATGCACAACAGTGATTTTGTCTTGTATCCTGTGAGCTTGTCAATTTCATCATTGAATCTTCTGTCCTAAAAATAAGACAGATAAAGCATTAATGGAAACTGCATTTATTGTCAGGGAGGAGAAGAAGTGGACTTTTGTAGTTGATACCTTGTCCCTGAGAATTTTCCCCCACAAAGTTTAACCCTAATAACAGATATAACTTCATGTTTAATTCACCAATTGTTACCCCAAATAAATGAAGAAACACACATCAAATTGAATTGCAATGTGTCAAAATTGAGGAAGGAACAAATATCCATGGGAACTCCACACTGTACTATTTATTAAAATATGTTACCTCTTAAAGACAAATAGATATGAAATGTTATATCAGAAAAATACATAAGGAAGTACAAAACACTATGAAAAACATTAAGAAAATAATAACTTTATTTCTACTTAAAGTTATCCTATAAAATAAAAGAATTGGGCCAGGGGTATAGCTCAGCAGCATAACACCTGCCTAACAAATGTGAGTTCATAATTTCAACTCCTGGTACAAAAAAAAAAAAAGAAAAGAAAAGAATTTATGAGTCCATAAAATACTCCCAAAAAGAGGTAGACAAGGAAGAGATAAAAGATTTAGCTATAGAATGGTAGATTAAAAATATAGAGCAAAGTATGTAATATTTATTTTTCATTGAATTTTACAGAGAAAAAACAATAATAATTTCAAAACAAAATAATAGTAAATTAACTGGTTAATATTAACTGGTTTATTTTATTGCATACTGTTATCTTTAGAGTAGATGCTCAGATTACAAAACAAAAGCTTGCAAAATTGATCGAACAACATAAGTACAAATCGGGCTAGGAATATAGCTCAGGAGCACAGCACCTGTTTGGCCAGCATGAGCTTGTGAGTTCTATTCCTGGTACCCTCCACCCACCCCCCCCCCCACAATTGTCTTAGCTATCTTGTGTGTGTGTTTATATTTTTTTTCCTTCCTTCTTTTCTCCTTTCCCCTATCCCAATTGTCCTTTCCTTTTGAGTAGTTTCATTCTCTTTCCCAGTAGTTATTGTATATTTTGGATATTATTAGCTCTTTGAGTTTCTTACACTAGAGAGACAATATGATGCTTCCATAGGGAACATCTGACTTATTTCACTTATAAGTATGATCTCTAGTTGTAACTATTTACCTATAAAAGTCTAAAGCTTATCTTTTTTTGGCTGAGTAGTACTCCATTATATACAAATACCACATTTTTTTTACTCATTCCTTGATTGATAGGCATTTGAGTTGTTTCCAAGATTTAGCTATTACAGATTATGATGCTATAAACATGAGTGCACATATATCACTGTGGTATTATGTTTTTAATTTTTCTGGAACAATACCCAGAAGGGGAATAGCTGCATTGAATAGTACTTTTAATGCTAGTTTTCTGAGGAATCTCCACACTGATTTCCACAGTGGTTGTACCAGTCTATACTACCACCAACAGCATTCCATTTTCCCTACAATCACTTCAGCATTTGTTATTGGTTGATTTCTTGAGGAAGCCATTCTATCTGAGATGAGATGGAATCTCAGTGTTGCTTTAATTTGCATTTCTCAAATGACCAATGATGTAGGGCATTTTTTCATATATTAATTTGCCATTTTTATTTCTTCATCTGAGAAGTATTTATCCATTTCAGATGTCCTTTTTGGATTGGGTCTTTAAATTTGGGGGTCTAATTTTTTCAGTTCTTTACATGTTCTAGATAGAAGTACTTTGTCTGAAGGACAGTTGGCTAAAAATTTTTTCACACTATGTGGGTTGTCTTTTCACTTAATGATTTCTTTTGATGTGCAAAAAAACTTCTAATAAGACACAATCCCAGTTGTTGATTCTTTGAAGTAATTCCCTTACAGTTTGGTTTTTGTTCATAACTTATTAATACACCTATGTCTTCAAGATTTCTAGCTACTTTGTCTTCCAGTAGATTTAATGCTGCTGTTTCAATATTTATATCTTTTATCCATTTTGACTTTAGTTTAGTGCATGGCGATAGACATGGATCAAGCTTTAGTCTTCAGCATGTAAAGAGCCACTTTTTCCAACAACTTTTATTAAAGAAGCTGTCCTTCTTCCCAATGACCATGTTTAGCCCCTTTGTCAACTATAAGGTGGCCAAGTGTCTTTGTAGATGTATCTGCATCCTACAATCTATTCCATTTATCCTCGTGTCTGTTTTGTTTTGTTTTGTTGCCAGTACCATGCTGATTGTGTCACAGTAGCTTTGTAGTATAATTTCAAGTCATGGATTGTGATGCTTCTTGCCTTGCCTTTGTTGCCCAGGATTGCCTGTGCTACTCTAGGTCTCTTCTATCTTCAAATGAACTTTAGGAATGTTTTCTCTAGATCTGTGAGGTATGTTAATGGTATTTTAATTGGGATTGCATCAATTCTGTATAACAGTTTTGGGAGTATGGCCATTTTCATAATAGTAGTTCTTCCTATCCATGAGCAAAGGATATCTTTCCATTTTCTGATATCCTCTTCAATCTGCTTTTTCAGAGGACTATAATTTTCAGTGCATAAAATTTTACTTCCTTTGTAAGATTGATTCATATTTCAGTTTTTGAATGCTATTGTGAATTGTGTGGTTTCTCTAATTTCTCTCTCAATGAATTTGTTGTTTGTGTACAGGAATGCTATTAATTTTTGAATGTTGATTCTGTATCCAGCTATGCTACTGAATTTGCTTACTAAATCTAGAAGTCTTTTGATGAAGTTTTGGGGTCTTCTATGTAGAGCATCATGCCATCTATGAATAACGATAATTTTTTCTTCCTTTCCTATCTTCATTCTTTTATTTCTGTCTCTTGTCTAATTACTCTGGCTTTTGTTTCCAGAACTATATTAAATAAGAATTGTGATAGTGAACATTGTCTTGTTCCTGATTTTAGAGTGAAAACTGCCAGTAACTGTCCATTTAGTATGATGTTGGCTATTGGTTTATTATAGATGGCTTTTTATCATAGATTGAGGTAATGACCATCTATTCCAATTTTCTCTAGGGTTTTTATCATGACTGAGTGTTGGACTTTATCAAAACCTTTTTCTGCATCTATTGAGATGATCATGTGATTTTTGTCTTTGGCTCTGTTGATATGGTAGTGTATTATATATATTGATTTTTGTATGTTGAACCATCCCTGCAATCAGGGGATGAATCTTACTTGGTCATGGTGTATAATATTATTGATGATTTGCTGTATTTTGTTTGCTAGTATTTTATTGAAAATTTTTACATCTTTGTTCATTAGGGATATTGGTCTGTAGTTCTCTTTTTGGTTGGATCTCTTTCTGATTTTGGTAATTCTTGCCTCAAGGAATGAGTTAGGGAGCACTGTTTCCCTTTCAAGTTCATTAATGAATTGGAGGAGTATTGGTGTCAATGCTTCTTTAAATTTCTTGTAGAATTCAGCAATGAATTTACCAGAACCTGTGCTTTTTTTTTTTTTTTTTTTTTTTGGCAAGCTTTTAATTTCAACTTCAGAAACTAATACTGGCCTATTCAGAATTTTTCTATTTTCTTAATTCATGTATTTCTAGGAATCTCCATTTCTTCTGTGCTTTTTATTCTATGCAAGTAAAGATTTTCAAAGTAGGTATTGATGAGCTTCTGAATTTCCACAGGATCTGTAGGGATTTCACCCATTTTGTTCCTTATTGTATGAATTTTGAGTTTTTCTTTCCTTTTTTGATGAAGTTGGCTAGGGGTTTACTAATTTGATTTATTCTTTCAAAGAAGAAATTCTTTGATTCATTAATTTTTTAATGTTTTCTTAGTCTCAATGGCATTAATTTCTGCATCTTAATAGTTGGCTCTCTTGCATGGGCTTTGGGCTTGACTTACTCTTCTTTTACTAGAAGTTTAAGGTACAGCTTTCAGTTGTTTATTTGTTGTTGTTCTGCTTTCCCGATGTGAGAATTCACTGCTATAAGTTTCCTTCTCGGAACTACTTTCACGGCATCCTATAGGTTCCAGCCAGTTGTATTTGTATTTTTGTTTGATTGTAGATATTGCTTAATTTCTTCCTTAATTTCATCAGTGATCCATTGGTTGTTCAGCAGGATGTTATTTCATTTCCATATGTTTATGGAATTTGGGTGGTTTCTTTTGACATTAATTTCTAATTTTATTGCACTGTAGTCAAATAATATGCAAGGGATAATTTTAATTCCTTTGCATTTACTTAAGCATGTTCCATTGGTTAGTATATGGTCTGTCTTAGAAAACATTCCATATGCAGCTGAAAAGAATGTGTATTCTGATGATGTTGAGTGGAACACATTGAAAACATCTATTTTTTCACAAATTTGGTTCATTTCTGCTATTTCTTTGACGATTTTTTTTTGTTTAGTTGATCTATCACTAATGGAGTATTGAGGTCCCCATTACAATATCTGTATATTTGTCTATATAAGGATGGGAATCTTGACCAGTAACTTCTAAGCTCAGAAGTTTGCCACATGTCACCTGCCAAACATCACAGAAAGCCAGACACAGAGGAAATAGAGACGCCAAAGCGTTGAGATTTTTTTGTTTCTAAAGATGGAAACATGAATGCAAAACTAACAAATGCCTCTAGGTCTATGATAAAATAGCATAAGAATGGTGTTCAATTTTTATGTACCTCCCCTAGGACAAGAGAACAAGAAATGATCTGTAACAGAAGATATTTCTAATAAGTTAAGGTAAGCATTCCTTAACGGGGTTGTCAAAAATCCAAAATGAATTGCTTACAATTGTAGTAGACTATTCCTGCTTTAGGTATTTTCATGTTATTATATTTTTCCATCAAATACATTAAGAATACCTACTCTTGAGACATGCAAATAGCTTCTCAGTGCATTTTGTACAGAACTGTCTTTTGTATGTGATGCTCAGATCTGAATTTTAACATTCAAAAAGATGATCAGAAGGCCAAAAGCTACCAATTCTCTGCTATTTTCAAGTGAATTTGTATCTAAATTACTGATTCAATCAATTGTGGAGGAAAAGCTGACAAGAGATACTCATACCTGT